ACCTCCCTTTAGTAAAACGTGGTTTAGTGAAAACGACCTGAGGCCCAAACCTGGCGGGCGCAAGCCTGGGAAATAACGGCCGCGGCGCCCTCTCGAGTGCCGAAAACGGACAATTCACTAATCGACGTGTCACTGTTAGGAGGTCTGTCCACCCCCGAGTTTTCGAGTCCGCAGCCTCTAGCGCCCATGGCTCACGCGACGCTGCGGCAGTGCGTTTTCCGGAAGCGAAGGCAGCGGGCAGCGCCGACCGAGGCCCGCCCGCTGCAGGGCGCCACGGCGGAGCTCGTGGATGCAGTGGCTGCAAGCGACGAGAGCGGCCAGCACCTCTCACGCGCGGCAGGGCGCCACGGCGGAGCCGGGCTTGACTGCTCACCGGGGATTCCCTGGACTCCTCTCCGAAGAACTGCAATGGCCGGCGACGCGCGTCGCGCCGTCTCGCCCGCCGTCCTTCAGCAGTTCATCTCCGTCGGCTTGCCCTCGGGCCTGCGGTTTCTAGCCGCGGGCGGCCCTTGCCGAAAGCTCTTGCTCTCAGGGTTCGCATCGACGCTCGCTGATGCCGAAGAGTCCACCAAGCGAAGGCGGCGAAGCGGCTCGCCGCATTCACGCGGGCCACGCAGCAACTGTAGCTCGCACAGCGCATGGTTCGCAGACCAGCAGGCGCCCGCATGCCACAAGACAGCGAGCGCGCAAAATCGTTGCCGCGAGCACGCAGGCTACAGAGCTTCGGGGGCGCAGCGCCGACGATTCGCTTCTGGTTGCCGCTGGCCTGATCGCGAGCCGCCCGCCAGCTGTGTGCTCACGCACCGCCCGCAGCAACATGTCGCAGACGCTGCACAGCGAGTAAAACAGAAATGCAGCATCTTGTCAATGCTCGATCGGCCGTCGCTCGTCGCCCGCAAGGACGACCTTTGTCCTCCCTGCTCGCATGCGCTTCCAACTTTCGGGCTTCTCTCTCTCTCTCTCTCTGCTGTTGCTGCCGCCGTTGCTGCCGCTGTTGCTGCCGCTGTTGCTCCTGTTTCTGCTGCTGCTGCTGCTGCAGCTGCTGCTGCTGTTGCTACTGCTGCTCGTCGTCATCCCCCTCCTCATTTTCCCCTTCCTCGTGCACCAGGCTCAAGGAATACCAGGCCCTTGGGTACTTTAGCCAGGTGACTGCTTCATTGCATCTGCGAGGCTAGAAGGCAGAAAATCCACCGCCAGAATAACCACCCCGATACGCAAAGTCGTTTAGTAAACGCACCCGCATAAGGAATCGAACAGGGCAAGGCTGATTAGAAAACGCCCAGGGCCGATTTGTAAACGCCAATTATCGCGTCTGGAAGGCTTTTCCTCCCTTGATATGGAGACCGCTTGATTCCCGGAGGCCTAGACCGCAACGTGCAGGGCAACCCACACGAGCCCGTTGCAGTCTCGGCGGCCCAGCGAGCAATCCACGGCGCGACCACCACGACAATCTTTCAAACTCGGCGGCCCAGCGCGAAACCCATGGGGCAACCATTACAGTAGGGCCCGACTACTCGAAACCTTCCACAAGAAACCCAACCCTGAGACCCCGGGACGTTCATTGATTTTGGTTTGGGAACGTCACGCTTTCCATCGCAAAACCATCGAAACCCGAGAAACCCAGGGCACCTTGGAGGCAAGCAGGGTGTTTCTTGGCATGGGTCTCCAGTCCTCCTGTCGTCCCAGCTTGTCCTCGGGGAGTGCTTGTGCGGTAAAAGACGGTGGTCACATGTCGTGCTTCTGCGCCGGTGGTAGAATAATGCTGTCCCTCGGGCGACGAGCTTTGTTTCCGCATCATTTGTTCCAATGTGCACTTTTTCCTGGGGCGTGTTCTTCCTCAGTTCTGGGGCTGGCTCGTGCCTAGGAGGCCGCCTCAACGGGCTCAGCTGAAGCCCTCAGGCTTGTTGCGTCGGAGTGATTGTTCCAGAGGCCATCCCACCCAGTGCAATTGACCAAACTTCGACTGTGGGCCGAGGGTGTGGATCTCTTGCGCTGCGGTCACACACACACCCTCGCTGCTCTCTGCGCTGCGTCTCCCTCCGTCCCGTTCGTCGTTCCTGCCCCTTTGGTCTCCTGTGTCTCCTGGCTCCGCGGCCTTTTTGTTCGTTTTCTCTCTCTCTCTCTCTCTCTCTTTCTCTCTCTCTCTCTCTCTCTCTCTCTCTCTCTCTCTCCGTTCGCGGGTGTTCCCTACCCTCATTCTTTCCTCCTGTCGTCCCCGCTTGTCCTCAAGGGATGCTGGTGCGGTAGAAGACGGTGGTAAATGTTTGTTTCCGCTGGTGGTCGAGCCTTCTTTCCGCGCCAGTGGTTCCAACATGCACGTTTTCCCCATGGCCTCCTTCTTTTCTCTGCGGCACTGGGCCTGCGGGCCGTTCTGGCCGCCATGTCGCCGCCGTCGCCGCCTCGTCACCGCCAGTCGCCTGGGCCTGCGGCCGCTCTGGCCGCCGTCGCCACCTCGTTGCCGCCCGCCGCCTCGTCGCCGCCTGCCCTGAACTGGTTTGCATTGCTTTGCGCTGTTTTGCACTGTTTTGCATTGCTTTGCATTGCACTGCATTACTTTACGTTGCTTTGCACTGCGCTGCGTTGCTTTGCATTGCAGGGCGTTGTGATGCATTGCGTTGCATTCCGCTGCATTGCTCTACAGTGCGTTAGATTGCACTGCATTGCATTGCATTGCATTGCGTTGCATTGTGTTGAATTTCAGTGTTGGGCATTGACTTGCTGTAAGTTGCATCGCTTTGCATGTATCGCACCACCTAGATTGCATCTCATTGACCGCACCACCTAAACGGAATGACCAAAAATGTTGCACAACATAAGCAATGCACCACACATATTGCACACCATAGATTGCCATACGTAGAGTGCACCGCTTCACCTATCTTGCACAACACATGCTGCTAGAAACACACGCTGGGGCCCCCGCTGGCCCGTGTGTGTATATATACATATACACATATGTTTGTGTATGTGTGTGTGCCGATAAACAAATATGCACCTGCATCTGTACCATAGTATGTACATATATGCACACCATGCCCGCTACCGTGCCTCTGGCACGACACATGTTGATTATGATTCCATATACGTGTTTTGCTTGGCAGTGTGCAGGTCCGGTGCAGCTCCGAATTCCGGATCGTACGACATCGATGTGAGACCGATGCTCTCGGTGTCTCTTTTGAGCTGAAGGGGGAAGGCTCGTCGAGCGTCCTTTGTGCCAGCGTCAAGTTTGAGACATTGGAGTGCCACAAGGCTCATGCAATGCTTATAGGTGGAAGGTTTATACGTTTCGTAAAGGCCCGGAACCCCACTTTCCCGGGCGCTCTCGAGCGGCACTGGGCGCTGCCAGGGTTTCTCGCGTGGGCCTCCTGGACGGTCCCCTCGCTCAGGAGGGGCGCAAAACGGGTTAAGAAAGCCCCAGGCCCAGAGCGGAAATATCGCTCCAAGACGCCCACGATAGGCCTCGAAGACGCTCCAAGAGGCCTCCAGGAGCACTCCCAAGAGGGCCCCAAGAGGCAAAAAAAAGTTATTTCCCCGACGCTTTAAATGATTTGGCGTTCTCGTCGTTTCGGCTTCCCGATGCTCCAAGACGGCCCAAGTGGGCTCCAACATCGCCCCAAGACAGCCGAAGAGTCCTCCACGAGGGTCCCAAAACGGCCCAAGAAGTTCCAAGAGGGCTCCAAGACGGTCCACGAGGTCCCCAAGACAGCTCCAAAGAGGGGCCCAGACGGGGGACCCGAACGGACATGTCGAGCCTTCGGCCCCAAGAGGCTCCTTGGAGGCCCTAAGAAGCTCCCAAGAAGACACCAAGAGGCCCCAAGAAGCCCGCAAGAGGCCCCCGGAAAGCTCCAAGAGGCCCCCAAGACGCTCTCAAGAGGCCCTTTAGAGGCTCCAAAGAGACCCCAAAACTGCCCCCCAGAGGCCCCCAAGAGTTCTCTCAAGAGATCCCAAAAGCATGCCTGAGGACTCTGACCCACAACCTAGGCACGGTGGCGGGATGGGCCGAATGCCATTAGATCCGCCGCCCCCTGCTTGCAGGGGTGCACGGCGTGCTGGACGATTCAGTTTCGGTTTTGGTTCTTTTTCTAAAAGAACTCCCCAGTGGGCTTCGGCACGTCCCGCCGGCCACCCGCGCGTTTCCCAAAATCCGTCTGTCAATGCCCAAAAACGGCCGTTTCGCTCGGGACATCCTCAGAAAATCGCGAAGATGGCCCAAGATGGCCTCCAAGTCCGCCCGAGATGGTCCAAGACGGCCTCCAAAACGGCCCAAGAGAGTCCAAGACGGCCCAAGACGGCCCAAGAGGCCCCCCAGAGGCCTCCCAGACGGCCCAAGAGGCCTCCAAGAGGTCCTCCAGGAGAGTCCGAAGAGGCCAAAATCATTGATTTTCCCTTGGTTTTTGAAGGATTTTGGCATTTGCGCCTTTTCGGCTCTCCGACGGCTCAAGACGGCCCAAGAAGCCCCCAAGATCGCCCAAGAGGCCCCCAAGAGAGCCCCATGATGGCCCAAGTGGCCTCCAAGATGGCCCCTAGAGGGCCCCAAGAGGGCCCAAGAGGCCTCCAACACGCCCAAGATGGCCTCCCAGACGCCCAAGATGGCCTCCAAGACGGCCCTGGAGCATTCCAAGCGGGCCCCAAGTCGGCCCATAGAGGCCCCCCAAACGGCTTCCGACGGCTTCAGACGTGCCAGGAACCCACCAAGATGGCCGAAGTTGGCTCGAAGCTGGCCCGAGACGGCCCAAAAAGCCCCAAAGATCGCCCAAAGCTTGCCCAAGAGGCCTCCAAGACGGCCAAGATGACCTTCAAGATGCCCACGTGTTCCCCGAAGGCTTTCCAAACCGATTCGGGGAACACGTGGTCCGATAGCTTGGCAGGTCTGGCCTCAACGTTCGGCCACATAGGCGCTTCCAAAAAGGCAGGGGGCGGCGGTGATTCGCCGTAGGCGTCTTCGATGTAAAGGGAATTCATCAGGATACATGGGGCACTACCACGCCCCACGCTCAAAGTCAGAGTGGGAAATGCTGCGCCCAGCACATGGAGCTGAGAACACCAGAGTAAATTGCGAATAACACGCGCAGCCAGTGTCCTTTCTCGCTCTTCTGGTCCACGGCTTTGCCTGCAGTGCCGATATGGTAGTGACCCTCAAAGCTCTCCATGTGCCCCATGTTCGTCTGACCTCCAGCACCGTACAAATTGCCCTGGAACATGTCGTGGTCGTCTGGGATAGATATGGTCGGTCGGTCCTCAAGCAGTCAGCCTCAAAACCATGCTGGCAGGCCAACTGGCAAAAACGGAACCCTGTCGCTCCGACCATGCTGGTTAAACCCCCTCGTCCTCCTCCTCCCTCTTACTACATCCTCCGCGTGCTCCATCACCTATTCTGGAGGAATGTGTGGAGAGACCGGGAGAGAGAGAGAGAGAGAGAGAGACAGACAGACAGACAGACAGACAGGCAGGCAGGCAGACAGACAGACAGACAGACAGACAGAAAGAGTAGGAAAATTGGAACATTTGTTGAGAGAGACAGAGAGAGAGAGAGAAAGCGAGAGACGGCGGAACAGATGGTAAGACAAAAACTGCATAAGCAGAAACTTTCTACTGTCCGCGCGAATTTCTTGGCTCGGCGCTGATCCCCTTCCTGCCGCGCGGAGCACGCCAGGGGCGGCGCCGGAGGCGCTGCCGGGGATGGTCCCAGGCGCCGATCCGAAGAATCCGCGCGGGAGAATACATGTTGAAGCAAGTTTCTTCCCGGAGGCCGCACAAGACAACAGAAACCTCCCCGAGCCCCGAACCTGGAGCCTGCCCGCCCCTCCTGCTGGCCGAACCGCTGCCGAGGCCACCTCAGACCCCCAGACGGCTGCAAAGATAGAGGGGTCTCAGGGTTCGGGTGCCCCCGAGGCGCCAGGTCGCCAGAGGCCACCTGTTGGGCCCCCGGACCCGGGACCATCCGCGGGGGGTGGCCGCCGAGTCCCGAGGATGATGCTGACCCCGTCGGTCGCCCGAGGCACTGCAGCCCAAGGGCAAGATCCCTCGTTCTGGGACGCGCAAAGACATCCGTCCGACGCGTTCGCCTGAGAGGTATTGCCAGAAAGCGCCCGCCATGGAGCTCATACTATGAGATGTCCGAGCATGCGCGCAGGCCTCGCGTGGCCGACGCATGTGTAGCATAAGTGGACCAGCACGAGGGCTAAGACGAAGCTGGAACCAGGACAAAACCGAGCGGGGAGAAATCAGGATCTCTAAGACCTGGCGGTTCTAGAATGTGTCGGGCGCCGAGGCCGTTCTGGAACGCTCCGGAATGATCTCATCCCGGTGCAAGCCTCTCCCGCCGGGCGCCAGGGGGGGGGGGCGTCCTTGGTCAGGTTCCCGAAGGCCCAGAGGAAGCGCTGCCACTTCGTGTGGTAGTCGAGCCAGGTGTGGTGAGGGCTCCGAAGGTCTGCCGGGGTGATGTCTCCGTCGTACACCTGGTCCCCAGCGAAGAACAGGAGGTCCGGGTCGTGCTTCGCCAGGGAGGACGTCACGTCGTTGAAAGGGAACATCATGCCATCACGATCCCACCCGATCCTGCCGTACGCATTCTTCGTGCACGACAGGGAGCCCATCACGGTTGTCTCCTGCGACGACTTTTCGCGCCGGATTCTGCCGGTGTACACAACCTCGCCGTCGAGCAGAAGCCTGTACCTGGAATCCTCGTGCGCCTTACCTGAGTACGGCACGGTGAAGCGCGTGTTCCAGCTGCCGTCCTCTGACCAGAAGGTGCCGTTCAGGGGCGCGCCACCGCCGACGCTGTCGACAGAGAGCTGCAGCTCGAGCTTGTGGGCTTCTCCCAAGACTGGGTGCTGAGCTGTCAGCCTCAGCATCGTCGCGTCTGCACCCTCTAGGCCGAGCCCCTCGTCCCCATTGGTTGCCACGGTGTACAGCACGCCGAGCACGGGCCCGAAAGCGCGCTCTGGGCGGTGCGTCGTGCCGAGCAGCTGCAGCTCGTCGAAGAAGAAGCCGCTGGAGGAGCCCGAGGGGCCGTAGGCACTGAAGAGGGAGACGCCTCCCGTCGCGACGTCGTTGAACAGCTTGGCAGACACGCTGCCGAAGGATCCGTCGGCACCCAGGGCCTGAACCAACAGGTTCCTGCCCCTCCTGTAGCTGATGCTCAGGCGCAGCGGCCACGCGCTGAGCGGCAGCGTGCTGGTGCCTTCGGCCACCACGGGCAGCTCGTCAAAGTCGAAGCCGTTCCCCGAGGGATGCGCTGCCACCCAGTAGCTGTGCGTGATGGCGAGGGGGAGCGGCAGAGGGGGACCTCGGCCACCTCGCCTCCGCGATGAGCGGGTATCCTCGCGACCTGGCGCCAAGGCCCTGGAACAAGGTGCCTCTCCAACCCAAGCCGCGATGCGCGAAGCGCGATTATTTGGACGCCCGAAATGGGTACCGAAAAAATGGGTACAATGCCCAACAGCAAATGTTGTCCCAAACCAACAGCGGCCGCTGTTGGGCAGGCGGCCCTTTGTCTCAAATGGACACAGGCCGCGGCGGCGTGGACAGCGAATCCTGTTCAAAATGAACAGGAACTGCTGTTGGGCATTGTACCCATTCTTTCAGTGCCCATTTCGGGCGTCCGGAGATTATCTTTGCGCCTCTGGGAGTGGCTCATGGACCGGCTCTGGGCGGGGGGGGGGGACAGCGAGCTGGAAGCGGCCGTGCATCGCCGATTGATCGGCGACGGGTCCCCGACAGCGAGGCGGCACGCTACTGGTCGGAGCTGGTCAGCAGGCCCCTCTCGGCGACGAGTCGGCGACGGGGTGCCGCTGCGCCCCCCCCCCCCCGCCGCCCGAGCCGATCCCCCCCCTAGCGCTACCCCTGAAATAGACACCGGGTCCGAGAATCTGCGCACGCTGAGGCGCCCTGCGGCATTCAGCCCGACCTGGAGGAGAAACATTTTACGATACAAGCATACGCTTCTGGAGCTGGGGGCGGACTTATTGCATCGGCGCTGGAGCCACCTGGCGGCGCCTCGGGCGCCGCCCCTGGCGCCCTCCGCGCGCCAGGTAGTGGTGCTCAGCGCAGATGCATCAGCGCGGAGCTCCGGGAGCTTATGCTCATGATTGTTCCTCCTTTGCCTGGCGGCGCGAACAAGGGGGCAGGGGAAGAGAGGGGGAGCAGGGCTTCTTAGGAGGAGGCTGCTCCTCCGAAGGCACAGGCCCCCTACATCTGTGGACAGGGCCCGCGCCCTCTGAGAAGCCCGCGTGCTCCTGAGGAGCCTCTCCCTCCCCCCCACCTATACAACCCCCCTCTGCGCGCGGCCGGTCCCTTCGACGACCAGCAGCCCGCCCCCGCGGCCCGGCACCATCTGCACCAGCGCGGTCTGCCGGTAGTCCGCGCTGGGCGAGCCCATCTTGATCAGCGCCCCCGCGAAGGCTCGGGGCACCAGGGGCCCGGGCTCCACCATGCCGACCGTGAGCTCCACGGACCGGGCGCGCCGAGGAGAGGGTAAGTAGCAAGAGAAGAAGACATCGCGGGATGATGTGCCGCCCATCTTTTCCAGTATCGAGCGCGGACGCCGCCAGAGTGACTTCGAGCGCGTCGTGGGCCAGAGTGACTTCGAGAGGGGCCGGGGAAGGCAGCGGGCCACTCCCGGGAGGTCTGCGCAAGGGCGGCCCAAGGCCGATTTAATTACGTGGGTCGCCGCGGGTGGAGCGGAGAACAACCGACGCCACCCCACCGACGGCCCCACGGTGCTTCGCGTGTGCCAGCAAAGCTGGCGGTGGTTTTGCGTGGTGCATGCTGCGGCCCCCTGATGGGCCGCAGTGCAGCATGGAGGGCCGTAGGTGGGGTGGTGCTCGTTTGATTTGTCGGTCGGGCGGGGATTATTACGGGGATAGGGAGATTATAGAAGTGGGTGCGAGGGTGGGTTGTGTCGGGCCGAACCTAGACCAGAAGTGCGATGCAGGTGCCCTAGTTTGCTCAGGATGATCTTCGTCAGATGGGCTTCGCCCAGTTACCCCGGATCTGCACGCCCTTAGCCACTTGGGGTATTCGCAAACCACTTCAAGGCTAGCTTCGGCCAGGCATAACCACCCTTGACATTCATTTGGAACCCCCCATCCTCGTAACAGCCCCTGCGACGATCCAGGTAAATCCGATTGAAAGGCCACTCAGCTAAATCTGACCGCATTCCGCAGGGACTCACCCGAATTCGGCGGAGTCCCAAGATGACCCGGGATAGTGCCAGATCAAGCCGTCTGTACATCAACGATATAGCAGCGCCGATGCTGAATGTAGCTCCCAGGGGGTTGCCTCGAAGGACGAGCGTGAGGTGCGCAGCATGGCCCGAGGCACGTGCGCGGACGAGTGGGAGCCGGGTGCTGGGCTGAGAGAACAGCAGGCGGCCCCTTGCCATGTGGGATCTGTCGTGGCCGCGGCCATGAGATCGACACCCCCCCGCTGCTGCTCTCCCCCCTCCTTGGACGCCCCCGGATGGAGAAGTGCCACTGCGACTCCGGGACCGTCTGCGTCAGCAGGTGCGCAGTGCGGCCGGCCACCGCGGGGTTGCTGTTGATGCACTCCACGCGCCCGCCCCTGACCGTGGGGGAAGGCCGGATCCGTATCCGCGGCCTCGCGGGCCGGGCCCCTGGGCCGCGACCCTGCGGATATGAGGCACTGTTTCGCGCATGCCCCGCGCGGGACGCATCCGTGCGACCGCGCATCCGCGGGATCGCGCCCCAGACTCCAGGTCGCGAGGGCGCGGATATCCATGCGTTCGCCGCTCGTGACCTGATGCGCCAATCCTGGGCGTTGTTGGCGAACCAGTCGGGCCCCAGCCAGAGGCGGTCCGCCTGGGGGGCGGGAGCCCGCGCTGGCCCGACGAGCTCCCATGGGGAGGGGGGAACGTTTGGGGGGGAGCAGGGTCAGGGGGGGAACATCGAGCTGGAATCGACTGTGCATCGCCGACAGGTCGGTGATAGACCCCCGACGGCGAAGCCGCGCGCTCTGGAGTGGGGTGGGCTATTGCGTCCCTCTCGGCGACGACTGGGCGATGAGAGGCCAATGCGTCCCCCCCTGACGTTGCCCCCGAGAAGGGGAGGGAGAGGGGGGGGGAACCGGGAGGATGGCGGACAGGAGGAAGGCAGGGGGAAGGGATTGTTTGACGGCGACGAGAACGCGGGGGAAGAGGAGGAAGAGGGGGACGAGGGCACGCAAAGACGGGCCCGAAGCGCAGAAACGACGAGGCGGAAAACAGGCAACGAGAGGGAGAACGACAAAACGACGCGACGAGACGAAAAGAGGCAGAACGACAAGCGACAATAGAGCGCCCCGCCCAGCGAGCGAATCAACAGCGCCTCCACCGCCCAGCACGGCAACCCCGCAGTCAGCATCACAAAGCTCACGCCGAGGCGCCGTCCCCGCGCGCGGCGCGGCGCCGATCGGAGCCCGCCTGCCCGGAAGGCCACACCCCCGCCGAGCCCCAAGCAGCACGCAGTCTCCCCGAGAGTGCGTGAGCCTCCAGCCTACATATGTAACGGCATAGAAGACACCACATCCTGTTGCCTCGAAACGCGCGCCACAACTGAAGGTCCTTGTGGCCCCCCTTGCGATTCCTGGAAGCCGCCGCGTAGGCATGTGTCTGCAACAACTGGCTTGGCATGAAAGCGCCAGCCTCCTGCTGGATGGCCCGAATGTCGGCGGGAGGTCGTCTTCCTCGAAGCCCTTAGCGCGAAGATCAGCATGAAGGTCTGCAGGCATATCGACCTCGGGAGGATAAAGATCCGCAGCACCGCGAAGAACACCTCCTCCACGCGGTGGTTGTCGGGGTGATCGCATCACCGCGAAGACCTGCCCCCCTCCCCAGAATGATGATCGCCAGCACCGCGAAGACACCTAGCATCAACCACGCAGATAGGCGCAAAGACTCCCGCCACGAACACGAGGCCCTCCAGCACCACGACGATCCGCGGGGAGATCGACACCACCCCCAAGGAGCGCAGATCCCCAGCACCACGACGATCCCAAGCACCACGAAGACCACCAGAAAGACCCCCAACACCAAGATCGGATGGACGAAGATCCCTGGCGCCGCAGAGATCCGCAGGAAGACCGGCATCACCCCCAAACACCACGAGGATCGGCTGGAGGACCCCAGCACACACGAAGAAGGTTGGAAGACCCTCAGCGCCGCAGCTACGATCCCGCACAAGAGGCTCCCGGGAAGAAGTGCTGGAGGCCTGGACATGGGCACCAACACCAAACCATTTGGACGCCCGAAATGGGTACGGAAAGAATGGGCACAATGCCAAACAACAAATGTTGTCCCAAACCAACAGCGGCCGCTGTTGGGCAGGCGGCCGTCTGTCTTGAATGGACACAGGCCGCGGCGGCGCGGACAGCGAGTCCTGTTCAGAATGAACAGGAGCTGCTGTTGGGCAGTGTACCCATTCTTTCCGTACCCATTTCGGGCGTCCAGAAACCAGGAGCTTTGCCTCCCACCATCCCCGACGGTGCTCACTTGCCGCTGCACACCGCGAGCAGCGGCAGGGCCGCGAGCGCGGTCGACAGCGGAAGGAGACAGAGGGCCGCCATCCTGAAGATGACGGTGGCTGCGTCGACCCCTACCCCGGGCATCGCGGGGTCTTCGGACGGACCAGAAGTTTGGGGCCCAGCGGGGGGCGCCTCGGGCCGCCGACGGGAGAGACACATCGCCTGCGAGGAGGGCCGCCCTCCCTGCACGTCTGCCGAAGGGGGTGCCGACGGGCGCGGGGCGCGCCCGAAGGCCGCGGGGGGCACGGCCGCGCGCGCCCCCTCTCCCCCCCGCGGAGCGGATCGAAGGGGGCTCGCGGAGGCCCAGCGCGGAGCGGGCGCGGGGTGCCGACGGGGCGCGCGGGAGGCGGAGGGCCCGAGGGGCGCCGTGAGCCCAGACGACTGAGGGGACGGCGAGGGGGAGGGGCGAGGAGGGCGAGGAGGCCAAGGGCCACAAGGAGGGCGAGGAGGACGAGGAGGACGAGGAGGCTGCGGACGACGAGAGGGAAGCCCAGACGACTGCGGACGACGGGGAGGACGGGGAGGGACGACCGGGAGGATCAGCCAGGGCAGCGGAGGCCGAAGGAGTCGCCTCCAGATGCGCACAGGCATACAGACCCCGAGCAGCTACGAAGTGCACGAGTCAGAGAATAAGCGGCTCCTCTTGGCGATGCGAAGAGCGAGCGTGGCATGCCACACAAGGGTGGGGGGAAGAGTGGGGGACATCTCGAGCGCGGCATGCCACACCAGGGTGGGGGGAATCTTAGCGAAAGGTCACACACTTCGGGGGGGTCCACAAGCGGGATCCTCCAGGAGGAGCCCATGGCAGCAGACAGTATCACGTCAACTCCCAGCAACGCATCTCTCTCTAGGCCGCATCGCCCAAAACCTCATTGTCCGGGCCATGGGCCCCAGAGCCCTACATGGCTTACCTCTACACATGTTGATGCAAAAAGCACGTCCTGCTGGTCCCAATTCTCGGAGAAGGAGTAGTCCAGATCCGCGTTGTGGGAGCAAGGCCTTCTCCTCACCGACATACACGACCTGCGCGCAAGACATTCCCGCTTACCGACCCAACAAAAGCGTGCTATACGGTCGCAACACACATCAGCAGCAACACGTGTCCGTCACACAGAGGTGCTGCACACATCGTCCGAGCTACTGCGGTTGCACAGCATTACGGGAGCACTACCAATCGAAGCAATCGAGCATGCACAATGCCAGATCCTCCTCAAGCCTCTTCCACCTCCTCGTTCTCCGCGACGCCCCCGAATGGGAGCCATTCAAGCCAGGACACGGCCGAGCATACAGACCCGCGTGGAATGTCCCAGACGCACTTCAACGCAGCATCTTTGAGCAGGGGGATGTAGGCCGAGTTGCATTCCAGGGCGGAGCCGTTGGTCTCCAGGCTGCTCTCGCACTCCTCCCAGACAGGGCTGGCGCTCAAACACCCCACCCCAGATCCATCCCAGTCAATTATGCACACACAGAGCCAGAGCCTACTCACTGTGGCCCTGCCAGGCTCAAGACATATGACTGCCTCTATCTCCCGCTCTCTCTCTCTCTCTCTCTCTCTCTCTCTCTCTCTCCATGTATATATGTATATGTATATATATATATATCATTATCTCTGTATGTCTGCATACAGATGCATGCATGCATGAGTAAAAATGTGTAGGTTATCACGTGCGTGAGTGCAAACGTGTGTAAACATGCGTATGTGTACATACATGCATGTATGCGTGCATGTCTGTGTGTCCATATGTAAACATAAGTGTATGCATGCTGACATCTCTGTGTCGGCGATTTCTTCCTTCCGACTATACCACCCATCTCAAAATCCTCGCCCATCTCTCCATCCGTCTCTCTCCCATGCGTGACTAACGCCTGTCGAAACATTCCCCATCCGTCCCGTTCTCCCGAGTTATAAATATAGATATATATATATATATATATAGAGAGAGAGAGACCTCTCTCTCTCTCTCTCGCTCGCTCAGCATGAGCATCCGATGCCTCAATACCACCAGAAGGCCTGACTGCAGCTCCCTCTCTTGTAAATTGCGTTTATCCCAGCACTCTGAATCCTTCATGCATTCCTCCCCGTTCCCGCCTTCTGGTTCGCAAGCACGTCAAGAGGACGAATCCTGCGCAAGCCACCCGTCCGCAGGCACTCGTCCCCGTTCGGGTTCACCTACAGACTCGAACACTCCTCAACCTCCTCATGCTCCGCATCATCAATTATTCAGTCTCCTCAACCTCCTCCTCATCCTTCATCCGCAATGTCAAATATGCGGTCCGTCACCCGTTCCCTTCGCTCGCCCTGAATGCACAACGAATAAGCGAGATGGCAACCTACCGATACAAACCGCGATGAACGCGAAGGCAGTGACAAACAATGCAGCAATGGCAGTATGCCCGAAAAGAACAGCATCAGCAAGCGAACCCATTCAAGCGAATTGGCAATCATCGAAATTGTGTGGAGTAGCATGCCCCAGGACAGCACACGTATACACATGTGATAACTCTAGGCATGCACACACACACACACGTACACACGTACCTGCAGGTATATGCACGCATACATACATACATGCATGCATGTACACATGCTTGCACACATATCGATACGTGCATACATACATGCATGCATGTACATAAAGAGTACATACACGTAAAGAACACGAGCTAATGAGACGGGCATTCGCCAGCGAGACAATCAATGCTGTGAGTGACACTTCCTGATGGCACCGCAATTCTTACAGACAAGCAAGCAAGGTCGCCTCAAGCTGTATGAAAGCTGTCTCGTCCAGCAATGGCAGGGATCCCCCCACGATCTGCAGACCTGAAACTACAGCGACCAGCCTCATCCGAACCAGCATCAGAAATAAGCACCTGTGGCTAATCATCCGCCAGCCCCTGTCTAGGTGCGCCGCACCACGTCGTGTGAGACAGGGCCAAATGCTGAGTTCCGAACTTGGGATGCCCAGACATTCAAATATAGTAGAAGCCGGCAGTCGTGCCGTGGACCCAGTCGTGTCGCAAACCCTGTGGCCTCCCACACAAATGACCTGATCCGGTGGCACTCGGAAGACATGCTGCTGTTTGCACAGCGGCATGTGGGACATGTACAATTGCGATGTTCGGCTGCACATGGTCAACGTTTACCCGATCAGTCTCCTGCTTTCCTCCTCCACAGCTCAGATTTGAATTCGGCTTCCTGTCGAGTCGACAGCGTCGGCTGCTTGGCATAGGAAAGCACAGCAAGATATAATCTCCAACTTTGAGACGGCTATCCTCTGAGGGTCTCCCTCTTCCCAAATCCCCCACAAGCGATTGCCCGCACGAGCACGGGCGATCACAGTACGAGGAGCAGCGGGGAGCAGGGGACCTGAGCCGCCAGGCCGTGGCTGTCGCTGCATCGAGGCGCAGACGGGCCCCTCACTCCGGGGCCCGCTCCACGGCAGAACCGGCCAGTTCACCGCGGGCGGAGGAGGGGGATGGAGCAAAGAACGCGACACACCGCGCCGTGGCTGTCATGAAACTCGCGCGCAAACTCGCTGGGAATTCCACTGGCTCTTCCGGAAGCGGTACGACTGCTCGGTCCCTTGCTGCGTCTCTGTCACTCTCTTCGGCGCATCCAAGAACCCTCTTAGGCAGCCACATCGTGCACGATACACGGAGAATGACTCACAAGACTGCCTTGCCCTCCTCCTGGCTTATCGGAAGACTGCTGCGTCTCCGCAACTCCTCGCAGAGTCATCCCCTCTCCTCACCCCTGCCTTTCTCTCTCTCTCTCTCTCTGCTTGCTTCACGCTGCCCCTCAAAAATCATTCGGCATGAAACTCGAAAACGTACACAACATACAGTCGACGCCCAGAGTATGTTCCTCTTCGGGTGACAGTGTTCAAAACTGACGCACGTGCCTCGTACTGCTCTTCCACGGCGAACCCAAGTCCCGCAGCATATCGGAATCATGTAATTCCCCTTTCTTCCAACATCTTCAATTCGGGGAAACGCCACTACGGCATCCCGGAAGAAGCGAAGCTCCAAATGATGACCAGCACACCGAGAGAGCGCTGCCAGCTCCGAGCAGCGGCAGGCGCCGCTCCGAGGAGCCATCGCCACTCACGGACTGGCGGTAGAACGGATTGGACCGGTTCCGAGCCCAAATGCTGGGCTTCCGAGACCATGCGCATGACTAGAGAGCGCGCCATGCACACGTGCACCCCAGACTCAGCGTCGCCCCGTCCGGGTCTGAGACTCTCTGCAACAAAATACGGAACAGAACGCGCATCACGTGCGGACAGGCACGAGACGCCGCGTTCAACATGGGGGGTCATGGCCCAGGGTGCCCCCAGCGTTTCGCCCCATTTGGAGCCCCTGGGGGCCTCGTGAGGGTTGTTCTGGAGGCCGTGGGGGCATCCTTGGAAATCCTGGGGGCCACTTGGGCCAGGGGCACTTCTGACAACACCCGAATAGAGGCGTACTGAGCTCAGGAGTGACCAGCTCAGGAAACCAGAGCATGTTCCAACAAGGGCCTTCAAGGGGAGTCGCTGAGAGGGGAGAGGGGGGGAGTGGAGGCAGGGCAGGCGGGAGCTCCGAGATCGGAGGGAGGCGGGCAGGGAGGGCAATCACAATTTTAGGTGCTCGTGTTAAGGGACCCCCCTGGAGCCACTCGCCCCAATCGTGCGTCGATGCTGCGTCGAACGTCCGTCGACTTGTGTCGAACTCGAGTCGAGATTGAGTCGAACTTGACTCACATTTGTTTGGAGTCCCGAAACGGTGCAGTGACGCACCGTGCGGTGACCTCGAAATCCCCCAAGACCTCACCGCACGGTCCGTCACCGCACGGTCTTGGGACCTCGGAGGCCCCTGTCGCCCGAGACGTCCTCGGAGAACGACCCGAGTCCCAAAACCGTGCGGTGACCCCGAATCCCCACTGGCTCACCGCACGTCACGTTGTGGTCACCGCACCGTTTGGGGGCCCCCGAATTGGGGTCGAACAGGCGTCGAAGCTAGAGCTGGCACAGAGTCGAACAGGTCCGTTGGGCGGATCCCAACAAGGTCGCCGAGGCGAGCATGCAAACTGCCAGCGAGTCGGGAACCAGGCCACCTGCCGCCGCAGGAGGCACGCGCAGCGCTTGCTGCTCCGCGCGTCCGAAGCCCCCGGGGGAGGGGGGAGGCGGGGCGCTGCTGGCCTGGGAACTCCAGGGCGTCCAGCGCGACGATGTGCGGCCCGCGCCTCTCGGAAGGGTGTCTCTCGACCGGCTGCCGGGCAGCGGGGAGGGACAGAGAGGAGAGGGGAGACGGAAAGCTGGGTGCGCTCGCGGCCCATCTGAGGCCCAGACCCCCCACTCATCCCATGCCGTTGGCCGGACTTCTCTGTGTCCGCCGGCGGGGGTCGCAACGAACCCGGAGCCCCAAGAACGACCCCGTCGGGCTGAACGCAAGCAGAAAGGGGAGCGGTGAAGGACGTGGAGGAGCAGGTGGCGGATGAGCAAGAGGATGAGTAGAAGGATGAGAGAGGAGGCTGAGGAAGGAGGAGAGGTGAGGCGGCGGGAGAGAGTCCCCCGACAGCACTCCCGACGGTGGAGCATCGGGGCTCAGCAGAGCAGGGCTCCGACGAGGGGAGGCCAATCACCGCCCCTGCCCATAGACGGACGACCAGTCCCGCCCATAGGGACACGGGAAAGATCAGGAGCGGCGATCAGACATCCATACCCGCGCCCTCGCGGTCTGGACTCCGTGGCACAATCCCATGGATGCTCGGTCGCACGGATGCATTCCGCGCGGTGCACCCGCTAAACGGCGAGGGGAGGCCAATCACCGCCCCTGCCCATGGACGGACGACCCGTCCCGCCCATGGGGACACGGGCAAGATCAGGAGCGGCGATCAGACATCCACACCCGCGCCCCCGCGGTCTGGACTCCGTGGCACGATCCCGTGGATGCTCGGTGGCACGCATGCAGTCCGCGCGGCGCACCCGCGAGACGGCGCCTCGTGTCCACGGGGTCGCGGCCGACAGGCACGGCCCGCGGGGCCGCGGATACACAAGGTTCCCCCCCACGGGCAGAGCGGAGAGGGGGGGAATGAGAGGGAGAAGGCCTTCTCAGAAGGCGGCGGGACTTCCCAGAAGCCCTCGCGCCTTCTGAGGTCTGTCTGTGTCTTCGGGAAAGGCTCAGAAGGCTTCTTGGAAGGCTTGGGGACGGGAGAGAAGGCACGCCCCTTCTCATTTCCCCCCCTCGCTCGCCGCCGAGAAGTGCAGGGAACACAATACAAAATGCGATGTAAAAAAAGGGTGCAAGCAAGCTTGAGCCTTAAGCCACAGTGGCAACGGACGTTGCCCTGTCGCATCCCGAAGCTGCGCGTCGCGCCAGTCGTCGTGAGAATGAGGGAGACGAAAGAGAAGGAACAGAAGGGTAAGCAGGCAGCCAAAGGAAGTCGGAACGACTCGTCCGACAGCGAGCGCGCTACTTTGCGCCGATCACCCGTCGACCACACACCTCCTTCCACGGCTGGGCCCTTCGTGCACAAACCGCAGCGAAATGCACCTACAAACGCAAACGCAACTGCTGGATACGGTGATTGTCCTCATGCACCGTACTGCCCACCTCACGTCCCTGAACTGAATAGGATTCAACTACAGCATTTGTAGCAGGGGGGAGGGTCAGGGATGGGGAAAGGTGAGAACAAACGGAGAGATGAAACGGAAGTGGTGGGGAAAGGGAAAGGGCAGAGACAGTAGAGGGAGGGAGCCCAAAGTATATGATCACAACAAGAGGCCACTGACGCCCAGCCACCTTCAAGTTCTCAGGGGCCGCTGACCTCCATCTACCTCCCTCCCTTCAACCCGTCTGCACTGACCTCACCGCATGGTCGACACTCGGCGGCAACGCCAAAGCAACTCGGGGATCTTCTGACCCGGGTCGATCTTCTGACCCAGGTCGATCAAGCCTCGCAAGATCCTGCAAAATTTGTAGGATCCTGCAGGATCCTGCACCCAAACCAGGGTCAACGCAACCCTGGCTCTGCTGGATCCTGCAAAATCCTGCAAAATCCGCCGCTCTGGCTGACCCCTGTTTGCATTGACCTCCGTCTCTTAAGCCCCGAGCAGCACGGCTCTGTGGCGGACCGGCCTGCACAAGGAATCGGTGGTGACCTCGGCTCACCATTGCAAATGCCTCAATGACGGTCTGGAACGCACTCGGGCCGTGAACCGTCTCCAACAGTTGCAAGCGATCACACGCCGCACCGTGAAATCGGCACAGCAAATGCGCACATTCACAACAAATCCTGGCCCCGCCCTGCCCCTCCCTCTAACCTTCCTATCCTTCTCTGCATTTCCTCTCCTCCTCCTCCTCCTCCTCCTCCTCCTCCTCCTCCTCCTCCCTACTACTGCTCCTCCCACTCATCACAATCACCATCACCATCACCATCACCATCACATGGTTCATCATCATAATCATCACCATCATCTGCATCATCATCATCATCATCATCATCATCAGCAGCAGCAGCAGCATCATCATCATCAGCATCATCATCATCATCAGCATCAGGTTCATCATCAGCATCATCAGCATCATCATCACCACCATCAGCATCAGCATCAGCATCAGCATCAGCATTAGCATCAGCATCAGAAACAGCATCATCACTATCATCATCAGCATAATCAGCATCCTCACCATCACCATCATCATCATCCGCAGCATCAGCATGCATGCATTATCTGCACCATCATCATCAACATCATCATCAGCATCATCAATAATCATCATCATCATAAGCAGCATCATCAACATCATCAGCATCATCATCCGTATCACCATGGCTATCATCGCCCTCATCATAATGCGCATCATGATCAGCAGCAGCATCATCAACATTGTCAGCAGCAGCATCATGATCATCAGTATCATAACTCCCATCGTCAGCATCATCGACCAACGTAATCATGATGATCATCATCATTATCAGCATCAGCATCATCAGCAGAAGCGTCGATCATCACCATTACCATCATCAGCAGCATCATCAACAGCATCAGCAGCAACATCATCGTCATCATCGTCACCACCACCAGAATCATCATCCACAGTATCATCATCATCATCACCACCAGCATCATCATCACCATCCGTATCATCAGAAAGATCAGCAGCAGCAGCATCATGGTCATCATCATCATCACCATCACCACCATCAGCCTCATCAGCATCAGCAGCATCATCATCACCATCATCATTGTCGTCATCATCTTCAGTAGCATCCTCATCAGCATCAGCATCATTAACAGCATCACCATCACCAGTATCATCATCAGCAGCAGCATCAGCAGCATCAGCATCCTCATCAGCAGCAGCATCATCATCACCCTCACCATCACCATCATAATCAGCAGTATTATCAGCAGCAGCGTCCGCATGATCATCTGCATCATCATCAGAAATATCACCAACACCATCAACAACAGCCACGACAATCATTTTCAGACTGTCCGCTCACATCTGCTCGTTTATACCAGTATGTGTACCCCGAACCCCCGGTACCCGCCTTCTTCGTCTTCGATCGTACCCCCTTGGGGGCATATCTTCCTTACCTGCCACGTGCATTTAGCGCAGCCCCTGGAACAGGGGAAGAGAAGACGGATGACAGGGGAGGGAGTGGCAGGATGGGGGCCAGGAGCAGAAAACACGTGGTAGAACCAGGCGGGCAGATCGGGCGGGTTGGCCCTAGCGGGCGGGTCGGGAAGGCGGGCCCCGGCGGCCAGGTCGAGCAGGCGGGTTGCTGAAGCGTGACTCCTGCATGAATCGCGAGGAGGTCTCGAGCGATAGCGTGATCTCCAAGTAAATCGTGAGGAAGGCCAGAGCGAGAGCATGATTCCTGAGCGTCGAGGGCGCGGCGTCTGAAGAAATTGCGAGGACGTCCCTCACGAGAACGTGATTCCTGCAAACAAATGTTTGGAAGCCCCGCGCGAGAGCGTGATTTTGGACGGGGACCAGGGGGCCAGCTTGACACCCAAGACCTTCCCTGATAAAGAATAGGGTGCGAGCCCCTGGAGGGGCAACTCAATTAGAAAAATACGAGGCGGAGGGGGGGGATGAATCAGCACTAATTCTTCCTCAGCAGCAGCAGCTGCAACAACAACAACAACAACAACAACAACAACAACAACAACAACAACAACAACAACAACAACAACAGCAGCAGCAGCAGCAGCAGCAGCAGCAGCACCTACAGCAAACACAACATCAAAAACAGAAGCAGCAACTACACTATCAACAACAACAACAAAGTAAAAACTGACCGCTCTTATCTGCTCGCGAGCCGCTGATCACGTATATCCCAAACCCTCGATACCCACCCTTTTCGTGTTCGATCGTATCCCTTTGAGGGTATATCTGTCTTACCTGCATCGTGCATCTCGTGCAGCACCTAAGGCAGGGGAAGAGAGGAGGGAAGGAAGGAAGGGGCAAGAGGGCGAAAGGAGGATGGAGCATGGGAGAGCGTAGCAGGAGGGGGGCTGGGAGCAGAAAACACGTGGCAGAACCAGACGGGCAGATCGGACGGGTAGACCCTAACAGGCGGGCCCAGGCGGCCAGGTCGAGCAGGTGGGTTGATGAAGCGTGCGTCCTGCATGAATCGCAAGGAAGCGTTCAGCGACAACGCGATTCCAGAATAAATCGCGTGAAGAAATCCTCACCGGAAGCGTGATTTCAGAGTGTCGAGGGCACGGCGCATGAATCAATCGCGACGAGGAAGTCCCAAGCGACAGCGCGAAGGAAGTATCAGGCAGAAGCCGTTGCTGTTGTAAACCGAGGGCCAGGGGCACAGTTTGAGCAAGAAGACTTTCTCCTGAGCCCCGGGAGGAGCACTTCAATTGAAAAACCACGCATGTTACGCGAATGCGTGAGTTCTGCATAATTCGCCAGGGCGTCCAGGGCGAGAGCGCGATCCCTGAGTCAATTATGAGGAGGTCCTAGGCGAGAGCGCGATTCCCGCATGGCGAGGGCGTGACGCCTGGAAAAATTGCGCCAGAGTCGCAGGCGATAGCGCGATTCTTGGACACAGTGCCATGTCCCGAGCGACGGCGCGATTCCTCAGAAACTTGCGAAGAAGTATCAGGTGGGAGCCGCTGTTGTCGTAGTCCAGGGGCCAGGGGCAAAGTTTGAGCACGAAAATGCTCGCTGTTAAAAAACATGGTGCCAGCCCTGGGAGGGGCGCTTCAAGTGAAAATAACACATACGTTACCAAAAGGGGGATCAACAATACATTTTCTTCAGTAGTGAAACTTCAAAAAAAAACAATAGCAGCAACAACAAGACCAATCAGTTTAAGACTAATCGCTCTTATCAGCTCGCGTGCCATTCAACACTCATATCCCAAATCCTCGGTACCCACCCTCGTCGTCATCCACCGTCCCCCCTTTGCGGCATCTTCCTTACCGACAACGTGTAATTCACGCAGCCCCTGGAACAGGGGAAGAGAAGACGGGTGGAAGGGGAGGGACAAGGGGAAAGGAGGATGATAGAGCACGAGAGGAAGTAGTATAAAGGGGGCTAGGAACAGAAAACAACTGGCAGAACCAGACGGGCAAATCGGGCGGATAGGCCCTAACGGGCGGGACGGGAAGGCGGGCAAAGGCGGCCAAGTCGAGAAAGCGGGTTGCGGGAGCGTGCGTCCTGCATGAATCGCGAGGAAGTCTCGAGCGACAGCGCGATCTGCAACGGGGCCACGAAGGGCAGGGAGGAGGCCACGAAGGAACGGGGCCACGAAGGACAGCAAGGGGGCCACGAAGGGCTGCAACGGGGCAGCGAAGGGCAGCGAGGGGGCCACGAAGGGCTGCAAAAGGGCCACAGAGGCCGCGACGGGGCCACGAAGGGCTGCAACGAGGCCACGAATGGCAACGACGGGGCCACGAAGGGTTGCAACGGGGCCACGAATGGCTGCAACGGGGCAACGTAATGCTGCAACCGGACCACGAAGGGCAGCGAGGGGGCCACGAAGGACTGCAACGGGGCCACGAAGGGCAGCGACGGGGCCATGAAGGGCTGCGACGGGGCCACGAAAGGCAGCAACGGGGCCACGAAAGGCAGGTAGAACGATTCCTGGGTGCCTGAGTGGCGGGAGCGCGGCGCTTGAGTAGATTGCAAGGAGCTCCATCGCAAGAGCGCGATTTTTGACCAATTTGCCAGCAGGTCCCCAGCAATAGCGCGACTCCAGAGCTTCGAGAGAAGAATTCCTATATAGATTACAAGGGTATCCCAAACGCGAGCGCGATTCCTGAATAAAACTCAAGCGGGAGCGGGGGGCCTGGCTAAAGTGTAAAGGCGTCCCAGGCAGGAGCCGTCGTTGTTGAAACCAGGGTGCCGGGGGCGCAGTTTGGCCCTTGTGAGTTTCCCTGATAAAACCTGGGCGCGACCCCTGGGGGAAGCACTTAAATTGAAAAAGACCATGGTCACCGGAGAGGGGGGATCAACAATGATTGCTCGTCAATAGTGAGGGTTCAACAACAACAGAAACAACAACAACCACAAAAACAACAAAAACAAACACAAAAACAACAACAACAACAACAACAACAACAACAACAACAACAACAACAACACAAACACCAACACCAACAACAACACCAACACAAACACCAACAACAACAACTACTACTACTAGAACTGCTGCTGCTACTACTACTACTACTACCACTACCACTACCACTACCACTACCACTACTACTACTACTACTACTACTACTACTACTACTACTACTACGACTACGACTACGACTACGACTACGACTACGACTACGACTACGACTACTACTACGACTACGACTACTACTACTACTACTACTACTACTACTACTACTACTACTACTACTACTACTACTACTACTACTACTACTACTACTACTACTACTACTACTACTACTACTACTACTACTACTACTACTACTACTACTACTACTACTACTACTACTACTACTACTACTACTACTACTACTACTACTACTACTACTACTACTACTACTACTACTACTACTACTACGCTACTACTACTACGACTACTACTACTACTACTACTACTACGACTACTACTACTACTACTACTACTACTACTACTACTACTACTACTACTACTACTACGACTACTACTACTACTACTACTACTACTACTACTACTACTACTACTACTACTACTACTACTACTACTACTACTACTACTACTACTACTACTACTACTACTACTACTACTACTACTACTACTACTACTACTACTACTACTACTACTACTACTACTACTACTACTACTACTACTACTACTACTACTACTACACAAACAAACAAACAATCATGTTAATATTGTTCGCTCTTATCTGCTCGAGTGTCCGTTAACGCGTATTTCCCAAACCCTCGATACCCGCCCTCTTCGTCATCGATCGTACCCCTTTGGGGGGTATACTTTTCTTCCGTGCAGGCCGGGCCCCGGCCAGCGGCGGGGCGGCCGCGGACCGTCGGCCTGGCCAGCGGCAGCGCTGATCGGCGGCAGCCCGACCCAAACAACGATGGACAGGGCACCGACCACGACGACACGATGACGACGACGACGACGACGACGAGCGAAAGCGAGAGCGAGAGAGAGAGAGAGAGCGACAGCAGGGCTACGAAGGGCACGAAGTAGGCCACGAAGGGCGACAGCGAGGACACGAAGGGAATGCGTATGGGGCCACGAATAGCGAGAACGAGCGGGGGCCACGAAGGGCAGATAATGCAGAGCCACAGAAGGCAACGACAGGGCCACTGAGAGTAGCAACTGGGCCACGTAAGACAGCGAGAGGGCCACAAAGGGCTGCAACGGGGCCACGAAGGGCATGCACATGGGGCCACGACGGGCGCGAACGAGCAGGGGCCACGAAAGGCACACGAATATTGGGCCGCGGAGGGCAGCGACGGGGCCACTGAGGGCGGCAACGGGGCCACGAAAGGCAGCGAGGGGGCCACGAAGGGCTGCAACGGGGCCACGAATGACATGCATATGGGGGGGAAGGGGCGGGGGGAAGGCGATGATGAGGAGGTGGAGAAGGAAGAGGAGGATGCGAAGGAGGAGGAGGAGGATATCAACTCAAGGCGGAGTGGGAGGCGTCCGCCAGGGCGAGGAGGACAGGGCTAGGGGCAAGAAGCTCCACATCTTCTCATGCGGGGTTCTGTTGTCGGAGTATTTTTGGATCGAAGTGCCCCCCATCGGGGTTCGCGCCCAGTCTTTTATCAGTGAAAGCTTGGCGTCGCCAAACTGTGTTGTTGGCCCCTGGTTTACAACAGCAACAAGGTATCCCGTCTGATCCTTTTCGCGATGTATTCCAAAATCGCGCTCTTGCGCGGGACTTTCTCGCAAGTTACGCAGGAATCGCGCTCTCACGTGGGACTTCTTGGTATTTTTGTTGAACGGCGCTCCCCCGACACTTCGGAATCACGCTCTCTTTTTAACCTTTTTTTTTCACACGATGTTCTTGAAGCTTTTCCCCTTCTTACTCAAGGCGGTGTTCCTCCTCGCCGCCGACAACCGCCGTCCCGACAAAACCGGCGTTCCAGCTCGAGACTTCCTACTCTTTTACGCTGGACTAACGCCCTGTTCTCTTCAACATTGGCGCCGTTCCCACCAACAACAGCGGGCCTGCTCGAGACCTCCTCCCTTTCTATTCAGGGCCAGGTCCTTGCCTCGCCGACGACAGACCCCATCCCCATCAAGGCAATCCTTTCGCTCGATACTTTCTTGTGCTTTACCCTTGGCTGGGACTCCACTGGTGGTCTCGCATCGGCGCAGCGAGGCGCGGGCATGCGTTTTCGAGGCGGGATACGCTGAAATTCCTCAAAGGAGGGGTTTGCAACCTCCTCATCCTCCTCCCGCCTCTTCTCCACGTGCGCGCCCCCCGCCCTGGCCGGGGCAAGCAAGTCGACGTTCCTCGGCGCCGTCGCCGCCGCGGCCAGCGCGCGCGCACGTTCGCCGACAGGTGGGTCACGAAGCCGCCGCGGCAACCCCGCGGGCCGCGCCAGCGGGGCAACCCGCGGGCCGCTAGGGGCAGGCCTTCGGAACAAACCCGCGGGCCTGGCCTTTGGGGCAGCCCCGCGGGCCTCGAGACAGGCGCGGCAGCGCTCGGGCCGGGGGCAGCGCGATGCCCAGCCGCGCGGCGAGCTGTTCCGCCTGCTCCGCCTCACCCATGGAGGCGTTTGCCTTCTCGTTGAAATTCACGAGCGCCTTCCCCGAACGCGCCGGCGGCGCGCGCCCCAGAAACTCGCGAGAGGGCGGCCGCGGGATCAGCGCGTTCCGCACGCACGAGGCGAATGAGAACATCACGTACAAGTGCAGCCGCCACTGCTCGTCTGGCATGCCCGCGCGGCCAAAGCCCTCGCCGCTCCCTCGCGCCGTCGATGGCGACGGCCTTGCGCAGCGTCAGGCCCTGCGACAGCGAGAAAGTGAGGTAGGACGCGCGCGTCAGGGTGAGACCCACGCGGTGCTGCGGCCCCGAGCTCTACCACGTGAGCTCCTGCTCGCTGGGCCTGAACATGAGCAAACTCCTCGTCCGTGCCTCAACCTCGCCGTCGTCGTCGGCGCACTCGGCGCCCTGTCGCAGCAGCCCGGCGACCTCCTGGTAGATCGAAGACTCCTTGGAGGCGGGCACCTGCAGCCAGATTCCCTGCTGTAGATAGCCTTGGCGAAAGAGCTGGCCCTGTGCGCACTCCTCGTACTCCGAGTGAGGTCCGAGGAGCCCAAAAGATAAGAGTGCTACGGGACTCGCATGACCCAGCTCAGATTACCAACGCGAATTGCGGGCCCCATTGGGAGGGGGCTTCCGCTTGAGATTCCCTCGCAATTTTCTCAGACGAGGCTCCCGCTCGAGACTTCCTCCGCTTTGAAGCCTGAAGCGCCCAACATTGACGACAGTTACAGAATCCCGATGACCCGCTCGGATTACCAACATGAAATGCGGGCCCCATAGGGAGGGTGCCTCGCCCGAGACTTCCTCGCAATTCACTCACAAACGCTCCCGCTCGATGCTTCCTCCATATTCAAGCCTGGGGAGGCCAAAAGTGACTACAATTACAGAATCCCGATGACCTGTTCGGATTGATAACATGACCTGCGGGCCCCATAGGGAGGGGGTTCCCGCCTGAGACTTCCTCACAGTTCACTCACAGACGAAGTTCCCGCTCGTGAGTTCCTCCGCATTCGAGCCTGGGGAGGCCAAAAGTGACGACAGCTACAAGGTTCTGGTGACCCACTCGGATTCATAAAATGATTTTCGGGCTCCACGGGATGGGGGCTACCGCCTGAAATTTCCTTGCAACTCACTCGGCGGTAGTAATGAGAGAGTGAGTGAGCCAATTCGGAGAAGTGAGCGAGTGGGATAAGGAATGAATCAGTTGTGAGTGAATGAGAATGATCGACGGAGTGTGAATGAGTGTGTGAGTGATGCTGATGGTGTGGTGGTGGTGATGATGATGAAGTGAGTGGGTGAAGGTGCGAGTGAGTGGTGATGAAGAGAGGGAGGTGCCGAGCTCCTGCGCGGGGGGGTGCCGAGAAAACAAGAACCCCACTTAGGATGTGGGAAATGCGATGGTTTCGGAGGGGGTCAACAATAACTATTCTTTAGGAATGACAAGTCAGCAACAACAGCAGCAACAACAACAGCAGCAGCAACAATCAACAAAACCATACAATTAACTAACTAACAAAGCACAACAACTACATAATCATCATCACCACAACCACCGTCATCAGCATAATCCGCATACCCATCATCACCACTGCCAGGAAGCCACACATTTTGGTATGCTAGGTTCGTCTCATCAATTAATATTGCATCCAGGCGATCGAGATGGCATCGCACAATCGAGCGAGCGTGCATTCGGCCCATCAATTCGAGGGAGGGCGATTGGACCGAGAAGGAAGAGAAGCAATTGACCGCAAATCTGGGCGACCGAACAACCGAGGCAGATGAAGGCCAGCCAAGGAGGCGGCCCCAGGCGCGTCCCGCGCCCCAGCGAAGCGGAACGACTCGCCGTAGCCTCGTGGCACAGAAACCGTCGGGGTGCGAGAGAGCGAGCAGCTCTTGCACGCCCGTCGGCTCGAAACAAACTCAGGCAACGAGCCCAGATACAGGTCAGCCAACTCCTGAGGAAACCGTGCCCAGATACAGGCTGGCCCACTCCTTTGGAAGAGGTAAAAAGGCACGCCACCCTGGGGGCCCTCTTAGAAGAGCTGGGCGAGCTAACTCCATCATGTTCGGTAAGTTCATGCCATGACGACGTACTGTGGTTCTGTCCCCGCGTGATTCGCGAATGCTGGACGATACGCTCCTGCTACTCCTCCTCCCCCTCCTCCTGAGCAGGGAGGGGGAGACAGAGAGAGAGAGAGAGCGAGCAAAGAACGTTCAGAGCGGGTCTGCACTGACAGCCTCTGTTCGTGACGGCGCCTTCGAGATACTGACAGCTGTGGGCTCCGTCTGCACCCTGAGTTGCCGAGCGCTTCACCTGTCGAATCGTGGCCCAAGGCCCCAACCCGCATCCTGAGTCCGCTCGGAGCGGGCCTTGAACACTCCTCCAACTACTCCTGCTCCTCCTCCTCATCATCATCATCATCATCAGCAGCAGCAGCAGCGGCAGCAGCATCATCCTCGTCCTTGGAAATACTCTTAAAGTTGACGACGCGCAGTTGGGCAGCCCTTCCTGGCCTCTTGAGGCCTTCTCCTCCTCATCCCCGTCCTTGGAAATATCACGACATGCGAGGCTGCGCTGTTGGTCCAACCCTCCTGGGCCTCCTGAGAACCCCCCAGGACCTCCAGAGACCCGTGGAGGCCATCGCGCACCTCTGGAGACCCCTGGGAACCTCTGCAAGCCTCCAGGCGACCGCTGGGCAGCCAGGCCCGACCTTGCTCGGCCCAGGAAACGACAGGGCATTTTTGTTCCACCGGTTCCGTTTTGCCGACGCCGTTTGTTTGCCCGTTGCCGTTGTGTTTTTCTCGTTTCCTGCTCCGGCTCCAATCCTGGAACCGTTCTTGTTGCCTGTCCAGTAGCCGTTTTTCTGCCGCTTCCATTTTCAAACGAATTTTTCCAGAAACGGTGAAAGCACGGTCCTGCCGTGTCCGGGGCCCACCAATGGCCCGACCCACATCCCCACGGCCAGGTCGGGGTGGGGGGAGAGGCGCGTCGGTCTCTCAGAGTCTCCAGGGCCCAGTCACCGGTCACAGCGCGACCACAGGGAGCTCTGCATCATGGTGAACGAAGGGGCTTGTCTGGCCCCGGCGAGCCACGGCCACGAAGAGGCCAGATCCGAGGAGCGACCAGGAGAACCAGAGCCCTCCTGAGCCCAAAGTGGTTCCTATTTGGGAGCCTGGACTGCGGAGGCCGGGGGAACTAGAAGACACCCCTACCGCCACTCCCCAGGCCACCTCGCGACTGGCGTTCTGACCAGCATGACGCGACGAATCCAGCCGTGGCCGAGCAGCGGTATTGGTAGCTGCTCCTTCTCTGAGGGGCTCCGCTTCGATGGGTGAAGCTTGTGGATGTCATGACACTGGACACTCTGTGACCGTTCTATCATTGAAGTTCAAATGTCGTTCAAATGTCTGCTATGCTTGAGCAGGGACCGACTGCCCTGGCAGTTCTGTACGCCTACCACGAAATTCTCTTAGAACCCGAAACTGATCGAAGAACAAAAACAAGGTTCTTAGAACAGAAACCCGATGCGCTAAAACAAGACTGCCCAAGCCAGAAATGTTCTAAGAACAGTTCGTGCAGACCACAACAGGTTCTTAGAACATTGTTTGGCAGGCCTATAGGCACACCATGACGCTTCGCCACTACTTGATATACGTTGAAGACATGTTCGAAGAATGTTAAAAACATGCTTCGGCACTTCAAAGACATGCTCTAAGCATGTTTGGGACATCAGGAAACCATATAGCAACATGCCTCCTCTCCATCGATCGTCTCCCAACAGGGTTGAGCAGTCTCCGCCCGGGCGGCCCTCGTAGCTGCTGCACTGCCACGTGCCCACGATGAACACCGCCTCGTTCGGGGCCATGGCCTGCAGGACGCGCCGCGGACAGTGCGCCAGCCGACCGACCGCGGGGAGTGGGCCGCGCGTGGGCACGCCGGGCCGTCCCCGTGGCTGTCCAGAGGCCACCCTCTGACCGAGCAGCGTGCAAACGGCCCCCACTGCCAACGGCGGGCGTGGCCTGGGCCCCACTGTCCGATTGGCCCCCCTGGATGGGGACGTGGACGATTCCCTTCGGGCTGCGAGGGGGACGGCCCCACCCGGGGTGGCGAGACGGTGGGGACTGGATGGGGACGGGGATGGGGATATGGCGGTCGGTAGAACCACACTGACTCTGAAGGAAAAAAGGCACAAACACAAACTTTGTCGGCGCTCCGCGCGGATTTCTTGGATCTGCGCTGGACCCCCCTCCCTGGCGCGCGGAGCGTGCCAGAAGCGGCGCTGGAGGCGCCGCTGGGGGGGGCCAGCGCGGATCAAAGAAATCCGCGCGGAGCGCCAAAAGTTTGTGTATTTGCCTTGTTCTTCGACCAACTACCACAAACATGATCGAGCAGCTTGCGCAAAAACGACCGAGACGAACCGCGTCCGTGGAAGAGGAGGGGTCCGTATCGGGGGGTCCCAAAACGCGCGGTGGCCTCGACACTCCGAGAGACCTCTCCGCTGGTCCGCCGAAAGACAGCCAGATTCCAATGACTGCGCGGCTTCCCCGAATCCACACTGACTCACCACACGTCATGCTCACCACACCGCTCGGGAACCCCCCAGGCTCTTGGGGGCGAGGGAGGTCGAACCGATCGATACCCGCGCAGGCATCAGCAAGCACCAAGAATCTATCTAATCGTGGGCGGCCCTGGGACCGACTGGCTTGCTGCTCCAGCAACCTCTACGGCATGTAGTCCGCAATGAGTTGGCAGCTTTTCTCACAAGCAGCACCGCTGGCTCACACCTCCCTCGAACGATTGCTGCGCACGCATCGCCGCAAATCAGCACGCTGCGCTCCGCGTCTGACCACCTACCAGACCACCCCAACCCAACCCGAAGACCCGAATTTCGGGTTGGGGGGGGGTCTGGGCTCCATATGTGTTTTTTCACTGTTCCCGGACCCCCCCCCCACTAGAAATCGAGGGTAAATCTGAGCCTTCGGGTTGGGTTGGGGTGGTTTGGTGGGTGGTGAGCGTCGGGGCAACAAATCCGTGGAGAAAGGCCTGCGACGCCAGGACCCCGGGCATGCCGGAGCCCCCCGCGGGGCTGCGAGCGACCCCGGCCGAGCGCACGCGGAGCTCCGCCGCGGAAGCCGCCCGAGACCGTGGCCGCCCACGCGGCGCTCGGCGCGCGCGCGCGCGGCGGCGCGCCGGCTGGCCGCCCGAGCGGCCGCCGCCGCGGCAAGACCCGGTGCGCGAGGCGGGCGCCGCACGGGGAGCCGCCGGCAGCGCAGCCAGTAGGGGGCCACATGCGACCCCTACCCCTGCCCCCAGGATTTCTGAGGGGGAGGGTGGGGTTCACTTCGTTGGGGAGCTCCCGAGCGAAGTGAGCCCCACCCTCCCCCATAGAAATCGTGGGGGGTAGGGGTAGGGTTCGCATGTGGCCCCCTACCAGCGCCGCCTCGGGGAAGCCACGGGGGGGCCGCGGTCGCCCGCAGCGGGCCGCAGCTCTCTGGGCGAGGGGTGGGCTGCCGCGTGCTCTGGCGGATCGAGCGCTGAGCCCCTCGTGGGGGCAGGAGAGGAAGAAGAAGAAGAGGACGACGAGGGCAGAGGGAAACGGGGGGATGGGAGAGGCGAAGGTTGACGGGGGGAAGCGGAGCTCAGCACGGCGGACGCGAGCAGAACGTCACCAAGCGCGAGCTGGTCACGGAGCTGAGGACCACCGAGAATATCAAGTTCAGGACCTCACTTCCCGAAGGTGAGGGTCGCATCCTACCACGAGCACGCCATCTCCGGGGACGCTGCACCTGGAACGACAACGCGAACGTGGAGATAGGCTACCGCGTCGACGCGCTGAAGGCGGGCTGGCTCGACATGGGCAGCTTTTGGTACACGGAGGCGCCTCGCAAGCTACGAATGCAAACATTCCTGGGAAAAAGTGGTGGGCGCTACATTGTCTGGGATGTGAAGTTACGTGCTGACGGAAGCGGAGCTGCATGGGATGGGCGTGGAGGTGCGCAAGAAGCTCCGGGCGCTCAGAGGGGGTGCTCAGATCGAGAACGAGGCGCACGTGAAGGTCCTCACAAACAAAGATTAGGTTCGGCAATAGCGACTATTGGCGGTCCACCAGCATATCGCGCGAAGGAACTCAAACTCTAAAACAACTTCGTAGCATCTCTAAGCCAAAACATACGAACATCTCAAACTCTCGAAAAAACATTCATACAACATCTAAACCAAAACCTGCGAAAACTCCCAAACTCTAAAAAAGCCTCAGACATATCTAAGCCAAACCTGCGGACATCTCAAAATCTGAAAAAAATGGAAGCCAGCACTCTAAAACAACTCTAAAACAACTGTAAAAACTGCAAGACAACCTTTAAAAACTCCAAACGCCTGAAAACTTGTCTAAATAAAAACTATGAACGCCTGAAAACTCTACGTGGGAAAACTCTGAAAACTCAAAAAAACTCTGAACTGATTTCTGACCGCCTGACGAACTCCAAAACGCGATGGGGAAACCATCAAAAACTCCGAATGAAAACCCAGGCGTCATAGGAAATGTTCAAGAACTTCAAAAAACTCGAACAACAATCTGGCCGCCCAAGCGTCAAGCATCTGTTGTCCAATATCTCTGCTTCAAGTGTTTCTGGAGTTTCGGCTCCAAGTTCTTTTCGGGTTGAGAGTTTCCCAAGTGGTGGTTTAGAGATTGGTTGAAGCTTTTTAGGTTTGAGATGTTCGCAAGTGTTGACTCAGAGCTCTTTTACAGAGTTTGGGAAGGTTGAGTTTCCTCCTGAAGATGTTCCAAAGATTTCGGCGGGTTTTCTCGATGGACCTCTTGTAGTGGAATTGCCGAACCTGAAACAAGGAGCTGATGCGAAGATGGCGCGCGGTGCCGAGTCGGGCGGCCCTGGCTATGCAACGATTCCGCTGGCTACAAGATATGGTCCGACATCCGCTCGCACATCAGCAGATTATTGCTGCGCTATGGGGCTGCATGGCGGACACGTCCTCGCAAATCGACGAAGACGGGAGGCTCACGATCTCGGCCAGTCCGTTTGCCAGGCAGTTCACTCGGGCCCTCATGCTGCTCGAGGGCATCAGCGGCACCAAGTACTTCTTCAACGAGTGGGCCACCGTGGGTCGGGCGTGGCAGCCGCTCTGGTCACTCGACAATGTATTCGAGGCACTGCTCATGATCGACGCGAAGCTAATCGAGGTATCCTTCATAAGGGAAGCGAGGCTGCGGGAGCGTCTCGTGCCCAAGCCGAAGGAGACCGAGGAGGCGCAGGGCGAGCACGTCTGCGAGCTGCTGGACGCTGAGGGCCGTGTGTGCGGGCTGCGCTTTGACTCGCTAAAGAAGCTCGTGACGCATATGACGAAAACCCGCGGCGGGCCCCACCGCGTGCTCTGTCCGCTTTGCTGCTGCGCGATTGCTAATCAATGCTCGAACTGCGGGAGCCTGTTTGCCTCGCAGGATAGCGCAAAACAGCACGTGCAAGCGTCGTGGAGCCTCAGTCGTTGCAGACCCTCGGGAGGGAGGCCTTCTGGGGAGCTGCAAGCACCCTCGGATGTCGTCTGTAAGGTACGTGGGCTCGAGTACGATTATCTGCCCGATTATTACACACGCCAGAGAAACACACCTGCCACGTCCCGCTCCGCGCACCGTGGAGCGTCATGCCAGCGACGCCGCTGGAGCGGCTGGATCTGGAGAGGCAGAAGGTGCACGCCGCGCCAAGCCAAGCAGCCACGCCCAGCAAGCAACGGCACCGTGGGCAAGCCCGAGACGCAGCCGAAGGGCGTCGGCGACAAGGGGCTTCGTCTGCTCCTCCTGCTGCTGACAAGCCAGCTCCCGAAGTGCGCGCAGAAGACGCGAGGGATCGGCGGCTGCCTCTTCGACGCTCTCCTCTGCCAGCTCGACGCGGAGGAGCCGCTGAAGATGTCGGGGCAGACGCACAACTGCTCGGAGGCGGTCGAGCGCGACGGCAAGGGGCACGAGCACGGGGCGCCGTACATCTGGGCGTTCGCGGAGCTGGCCGAGGCGCTCAAGGAGAGGGGCAGCGAGGTGGTGGGCGGCCAGCGCGAAGAGCATCCAGGACATCTGGGAGTGGCTCGACGCTCACACGGTGGAGGAGAAGATTGAGGGCATCAGGATGTGCCGGTTAGACAAGACGCACGACAGAGGGAAAAAGCGGATCACCTTCGCTCTGCGCGACGAGGTGGAGGCAGGCGATCATCAATTCATGCGTTCAGGTGCGGATGGCTCGCAAGCGGGGGAGGGCTCCAGCGTCGTTTGTCCTCCTCCTCCTCCTCCTCCTCCTCCTCCTCCTCCTCCTCCACTCCCTAACGATCAGATGAGGCGCAGGACCCCCGAACCTGTGCATATCAGATAGAGCGCGTGTCATCACCCGAGGACAGTCCAGAGGGACAGCACAGAGAGGAAACTTCAGATGGCACGCGCTCAAGAGGAGGCAAGGCGGGGGGAAGGCATGGCGCCGCCGCCCGAGACATCCTCGCAACCGCGGCGCCGCCGCTCGAGACATCCTCACAATCGCGGCGCCGCTGCTCGAGACATCCCGCGGCGCCGCCGCTCGATGCATCCTCGCAACCGCGGCGCCGCCGCTCGAAACATCTTCGCAATCGCGGAGCCGCCGCTCGGGACATCCTCGCAACCGCGGCGCCGCCGCTCGGGGCATCCTCGCAACCGCGGCGCCGCCGCTCGGGACATCCTCACAACCAGCGTGGGTGAAGGCGATGAGGAGGAGGAGGAGGAGGAGGAGGAGGAGGAGGAGGAGGAGGAGGAGGAGGAGGAGGAGGAGGAGGAGGAGGAGGAGGAGGAGGAGGAGGAGGGGGAGAGAGAAAGCCACGGGCTGAGGAGGCCCCCCCCCCGCCCCCGCCGCGCGCCAGGGGCCGACCGCCGTCGCCCCCATCGTGCCGCGCCGCGGGCAATAGGCCTGCGGGGGGCCCCAGCCTGGGCTCAGGCGTGCAGCCCACCGCGGGGCAGGTGCGGCAGCCGCGACAGGAGGCGCCCGCGGGCGCCAGCCGCCGCCGCGAGCGGCATCAGCAGCCACGCTTAAGGAGGGCGCGTGGCACAGGAGGGATCGAGAGCGGCGAGCACAGGCTCGCCTCCTTGTTCGCCTCGCAGCGGCGCAGGAGCTGCTGGCCAGCCACCACTCAGCGCAGCAGCCCCAGCGCCAGCAGCAGCACCAGCGCAGCCGCAGCAGCAGCGAGATGACGACGAAGGCGCAGCAGCAGCACCAGCGCAGGCGCAGCAGCAGCGCCAGAGACTGGTCGGGAGACATCGGTGCCATCGGAGGGCGACCCTGGGAGTGGGCCCGCGATGACAGCCAGCACCACCAGCGCCAGCGCAACGGATACCAGCAACACAGCGCACAGAGGAGGCAGCGCAGCCAGCAGCAGCAGCAGCAGCCTCAGACCCACAAGCACCACCACCAGCCAGCCCAACACCAGCACCAGCAAAAGCACCCGCAGCACCAGCAGCGAAGCGACAGCGACCAGCACTGGAAGCACAGTGCACCATGGAGGAGCGTCTCAGCCAGAAGGAGAAGCAGCAGGCGCAAAAGAAGGGACCAGCTCGACACTCCTGCCTCAGCCCACATCGGCAGCTTCCAGTACAGCCCCCAGCAGAAGGCAGTCCTGGACAGCAGCACGCCAGTCTCCTTCGCCGTCGCGATGGAGCACGAGAGCTGGTCCGCACCACCAGATGACGAGGAGATGAGGTTCGTGTGGTACAAGACGAAGTGCCACAGGCTGGGTCGCCTCTCCGAGAACATCGCTGGTGCTAGGCTGGCGGGCTTGTGCACAACCAGCCTCGAGCAGGAAGCGGCGATCACCGCCACGAGCATCTCCTTCGTCCTGCCCCACAAAGAGCGCATGAAGCAGCTCAGGGCTACGCTGGAAAAGCTGGAGGAGGAGCATGCCGAGATGGAGAAGCGGCTCAGCAAGATGCTCGACCAGGAGGCGACGGCCGCCAGAACCATCAGGGTCTACAAGACCCTGATGAGGGAAACCAGGGATCAAATGGCAAAGTCGGCGGGCGTAAAGGAGGAATCGTCAGAGGAAGAGGGGGGCCATGATCCCACCAGAGGACGCGCGCCACACCCGGCCGCGAGGAGAAGGCGCGACCCATCAGCAGCCCCAGCGGTACCAGCCACAGCCCAGCCAGCCACAGCTCAGCCAGCCCCAGCAGCTCAGCAGCCACGACCAGCCCCAGCAGCACCAGACGAGATCAAAGACGCCATCAGGAGACTGACCGAGAGGCTCGACTCGCAGCAGAAAAAGGAGCAGCAGCAAAGCGACCTGTTGGCACAAGCAGAGCTCAAGCACAAAAGCGAGCTGAAGGCCTACGAGCAGACCATGGCGCAAAAGATGTACCACACGACCGAAGTGCAGCTGGCCAAGCAGGAGGAGTGGCACACATGGGAGGTTAACGCGCTCAAGCGGCATCACAACGCCAAGCTGGAGGAGGAGGAAGCAAAAGCATACGAAGCACAAAGAGGCACCCAGAGGACACAGGAGGAAAGGGCCAAAGGGATGCTCGTGGACTTGCAAATGCATATTGAGTTGGAAAAGAAGACACTACGTGAGGAGATGCACAAGGAAGACCAGAGAAGAGCGGCCATCTACACGCAGCAGGTCCAGAAGGCCAGGAAGGAAGAGCAAGCTGTGAGACAGATGGCGGCTCAGGAGGCCCAGTGGTACAAGATGGCGCAGGCGCACAACGAAAAGGCGACGCAGGAGATGGCGGAGGCGGAGTACCAGGAGCGATGCGCCCGTCGCAGCGCTTACAAGGATGAGGAACTGCGGATCGCAGTGAACTACCAGCAGATGGCCTACGAGCACCAGGAGGAAGCCAACAGGCGCGAAGCCATGCGGGTCGCCCTGAACCTGGAGCACGCAGCCATCCAGGCGAAGGCATACGAGATGCAACACGATCAGGAAAAGTACCTGGAGCGCGTCGGTGAGCACCAGGAAGCGGTGGACAAAGCCCAAAGGATGGAGGAGGTGGCACTGCAGCGACAAGCAGCGGCCACAAGCGAGCTCCATGCACTACAGCATCAGCAGGAGGTGGAGAACCAAGTGACGCAGCAGTACCACAGCACCCTGCAGCACCAGCACCAGCAGGAGATGCAGGCCGTGGCGCAGCACTACGCCCACAACCAGTACATGAGCGACGCACAGAGGCAGCAGCAACTACAATACCTCCAACGCGCACATGATTTGCAAACGGCAGGACTCCAGAACGCACTACGGGACGCCTGGGGAGCAGGAGGACAAGTGGACGAGGACCTGCTAATCGACATGACGGACGACCTCATGGAAGACCCAGTCACGAGTGAGCGCGACCAAGGCATGGCGGAGCAGGAGGGCGCGTACCAGAGGGAGCAACTGGAGGCAGACTTACTTCGGCTACTACCTAGCCAATACGAACTTCCACACCCAGAACTACCGCCGTACCTCGAGGAGCTGGCCGAGGTGGGATTTGGAGAGAGGTCCCGCACATCGTCGATGCCAACGCCAGAGGAGCCGACCCTCTCGTCGTGCGACGACCTCAGCTTCCAGGACCAAAGCTTCGTGCCGAGGACTTCCACCGAAGATTGTCCGCTACCTCCACCACCACCTCTACAGCGCCCGCGCACCGAGGAGCACAACAGCGTCGGCTTATACTCGCACCTAGGGCAGCTCGACGCACGGGCGAACAGCGACTGCATCCCAATTGGCGAATCCGACGACGCCGACCTGCAGGACGAAGAGACGAAGATCCGCCAAGGCCTGCGCAAGGAGAAGGAGGACGAAGCCCCGACAGACCTCGCCTCACTCTCACCAACGATACCAGCCGACTCACCCATCCCGACAGAACAGCCCACGCCAAGACACATACTTTTTCCGCCCGTCACGCCTCTCACGCCAAACAAGACCCCACAACAGCGATCACAGCCAGCCAAAACCCCCATGACGACGCTGTTCATCGACCTCAGCCGCGGCGAGGAGGCTTGCCCCAACACACCTCCACGGATGCCGATTGAGGACATCACGCCCACCGAGCCACACGAGCCACGGCTGCCACCACCGCGATTCCACCTGGGCACGCCAGAGAGGACGAGCTCGGCACCCCCATGCAGAGGTAGCCTGAAGCAGCCAAGGGAGCCCAGGAGGGCGAGGAGCCAGCCGAAAAAGGTCAGGATCTGCGACGCGGACGATGGCTTCGCGGACCCAGGCGACAGGGTGGCATCCTTCATCGAGAGCGGCGAGAGCGACCTCGACGGAGGCCGACTGTCAAAAAACTGAGGAGGAGCACGCAGGCTGGGGGGCAACTGGCCCAGACCTGCGTCCAGACAGCCACACCAGAAGACATCGGGGATATCGGGCCCAGACTCAGAGACCCGTGCGGTGACGAGCCTACGCCCAACGACCCCCACCCACGGCCCCTGGCCGCACGCACACGTTCGCACCTAGCCTCCATCACACTACATAGTTACGTCCAAGCCGGTGCGAGCCTGGGGGATGCCGCATCCGCTTCAAACCACCAACGCTCTACTAGGGAGCCCCGACTCAAAAGACGCAGCAGACGAACCACCTGCATTACTAGCTCCCTAGACGTCGCAACTGTGGGCAAGGGTGGGGACCACCCACAGAACGGCGACACCAAGTTTGAGCGCACCAAGCGCGGACCTGAGCGACTCCCTCAGGCCGTGATCCCCACTGCCAGCGGGGTCCAGGCAGGCAACCAGCACCGCGACGGGGTGAGGCTGCAACAAGAGTGGGAGAGCTACTCGAGCAGCCAGCCGCAGTGCCAACTGCGTGGACCAAGGCGACACCCCTTGGCCACGCCAGGATCGACACCCCACTTCGCGGGACCCGCGGCGGCCCATGCGGCGTCGCAATCCTGGCAACACAGCCACGCGGAGGAGGACCCAGGCAGCAGGTCGAGACTATCAGATCCATCACATCTGGAGGTCTCCCAGCGCCGGGTACTCTGGGAGCATCCCACACTTGCAGTCGACGGAGCCTGGCCCTCTCGCCAACCTCTCGACACCAGTCACTTGGGCTCGCAAGCGGACCACATGACAAGCATAAGGA